TATGGAAAGGAATGCTCATTATATATTTAATTGTTGGACAACTAGTGTCTTCGTCAAATGGCGTTTAGTTTTATGGTGGAATCATGTGTGCAATCTTTGGTTTGAATTTAGATAGTACGGAGATTTAATGTTCTCGTTAGGTGCCGTGGGTATGGTATCATTCATATGTATTGTATATATCATTTTTTCTAAAATAGGAAATATAACGAATGGATTATATGAAGGTGAGTTTTATTATTTTTGCCTTGTGTTATGCGCTTATGGTATCATGGCGCAAGGTGCAAAATCTTGGAAGAAGTATATGATTCAAGGTTTTTTCAACTACTTGATAAGGGGCAATATAAGTTAATAGTTAATTTGTTCCTATTTAAGTGTCGGAGGCGCTAAGATTTAATATTTATAAAATGGATTGGAAGCATAGGAATGACGTTGTCAAAATAAGTTATGACCAAAAATGTAGTCTAAACTATAAGAAAATTTTTCATTTACAGAAGTATGCCTACTGTTAGTTTTTTGTGCAGTGGTTGACTCTCTATTATCTGTCCCGAATGTGGGCCTTGTCGAGATGACACTCTATTCTCTACCTCCGTCTGTAGAGTACTTGTTAACACCTCAGTTTTTTATAGACACATGGGACAAATGCGGGAAAATATGGATAAGGTGGGGAATGGTGAAATTAAAATTAGATCGTGTGAGTAGTAGTTGAGAAATGGGATGATTGTGTTTGCATAGAAACCGAGTCATTGAGAATTGACTTAAAATTAGTGGCTGTGTTAAGTGGTTTGCACGTATGTTGGTTTTAAAGTTAAATATGAGTTGTATACTTGTAAATTTGTCCCTTCTGTTACTGGTGTGCGTACTGTGACTCACTCTCCAAAGGTGTGGAATTTGGGTTTCTGGCTCTAGTGTATTGGCTGTGTGGATCACAAAGACTGGGCCTTCAGCAATTGGCATAGTAAATAATAGGGGGAATTCTATCTAGTATAATCTATCTATCTATCTATCTATCTATTCTTATCTAGTATCTACTATCTATCTATATCTATCTATCTATCTATCTATTTATCTATCTTATTCTATCTATCTATCTTATTCTGTGGTGGACACTGTAGGATATAAAGGATGTAAGTAGGGATTTTTTAGGGAAGTTTCAAAATAACAACTTCCTGATGAAGTATTTCAAAAAGTCAGTGAACTAAATTTGCAGTTGAAAGGCACCAACACTTACCTTTCACATCTCATAGATGAAATAACATCCTTCACAAGAAAACTAGAAATGTTCTAACATTTGTAGTAACATGGGATGTACAATAGACTCACTTTGGAGCCTGAAGTCGATAATTGAGTTAAATAAACTGCAGAACACAGTGATCCCATGTGTGAAAACCTTTATCTGATTATAGACTTCTAATCTGAATCTGATACCCTGTCAGCTGCTGACTCACTGGTGTGACCTCATATTTGGCAGTGAGGCTCCAGTTTAACTCCAAGACCTTTGTTATAGTTTGGATTGGAGTGGATACAACTACCCACTGCTAGGTCAGAGAGCCCTGGCCATACTTTTACCCTTTGGCACACTCCTTCCCAGTTTTTCTGCAGCTCTCTCGATCAAAACAAAACTTAGGTCAAAACCTAACACTGAGTTGCATTCTCAAAGCACTGTTTGGTGATAATTTACAGCACAACACTGTGGTTGCAATGTACTCATTAAAAAAAACAATTTATTTCTATTAATTAGAATTGATGCATAGTGCTGAAAGAATGTGTCTCCCTCTATTTAGAAGAGCTGTGTGCCTGGAGTGAGGAGGAGTGCAGGAACTTTGAGCACGGCTATCGAGTTTACGGGAAAAACTTCCACCTCATTCAGGCTAATAAGGTGAGTGCTGCTGTATTCATTTGAACTTTTAATGGGTCATCTTTTTGCCTCTCAAAGCAAAAACAATAGTTTTCCTCTTCCTCAGGTACGAACGCGTTCAGTTGGGGAGTGTGTGGAGTATTACTACATGTGGAAGAAGTCTGAACGTCACGAGTACTTTACCCAGCAGGCCACCAGGCTCAGCCGCAAAAAGTACAGCTTGCAATCAGGGAGCATGTGAGTATTGCTGGAACACTAATGACAATATTCATAGTCAGGCTGAATGGAAAGAGAGATCACACCTGAGCCAAAACGTACATGATTTGTTACCAGACATCGAAATCTGCGAACAGGCTGCGTCTTGCAATGAGCAACCCTGTGTCGTGCCCTACAATATGCCTACAGATGGGGTGTGAAGGGATTGCAATATTTACGACTTGTCATCATATAATGTGCGTCCAGCTCTTCTTGATTTCATAAAAGAGCCCATACTAGAGGGCAGCTGTGGATCAGGGGGTAGAGCACGTCGTCCACTAATCAGAAGGTTGGCGTTCGATCCCCGGCTCGTCACGTTGCATGTCGGAGTGTCCTTGAGCAAGATGCTGAACCCCAAATTGCTCACGATGCTGTGCATCTGTGTGTGAATGTGAATGAAGGAATTAGATTCTGTTTGTGATGAGCATTCGCCAATTACTGTATGAATGTGTGTGAAAGGGTGAATGTGGCATGTAGTGTAAAAGTGCTTTGAGTGGTAAGATGCTATACCAGTACAGTTCATTTACCTTTTACAGTCCATTTAGTAATTTCTGCTATTAAGAATTCTGAAATCTATAAAAGAAAGAAACCAAGAACTTTTAGGCTGTGAGTCCTTTCTTATTAAAGACATGTTCATACATACTTCTATTTGCCCCTGGAGTAAGGATTTCCTGTATGTTGTCACTTGAACTTTACATTCAATTTATGAAGGTCCAATTCTGAGAACCTCTTTAACACCAGACTACTTTAAATCTGTTTATTTATTTATTTGCATTAGTTGAAGCTTGGTCATAGCTATTCTAACAGTAATCCATTGGGCTATTGTTTGTGAATTGTGAAATTTCCTCCTCATCTGGTTTATGGTCATCTTCCAGTGCATTACCTAAAGCTGAAGCTTTACTGCATTACTGTAAGCACTGTTTTTCTTTCCAGCTATCCTGTTGAAGTAATGCCTCTTAACTGGAATTCATACTTATATTTGTATAAGTACACCTCTGCTAGGAACGTCTAAGGGTTGGTTCACTTAATGACAAACTAGCATGTGTGGAAAAAAATGTTTTTATAATTTTTTTTGTTGTTGTTATTTTTCAATTCTTTGAGCACCAAAACAAATTTCTACTCACGTCCATGGTGTTGGGAGAGTGGCAAATATCTCAGAGATGGATTTAGCTCAACAAAATAAAGTTCTGTAAGGAAACGACAAACATACTTAATGCTTGTTTCCTGGAATTCTGAGCCTAACACTAACTTCACCTTGGGGTGCGTCATTCTTCTTGTGTGTTTAATCGGATATTGTGCACACACCAGCATTTCACTGTTGATTCACACCATACTTTACTGGCTATGTTGTGTTCTGTGTTGCAGGGAGGATGGAGACCAGGACGGGGAGGTTGGGGAGCTGGAGGGAAGCAACAATTCTTCAGGCCTGTTGTCTCACAGCCCCATGGGCACTGGGCAGCTGGAGTCCCCATTACCTCCACAGTCGAGCCTGGACCTGGACAAACAAGGTAAAACTTAGAGGTGTTCTCAAGAATCGAATGGTGGAGGCTTAAATTGTAGAAACTGTTGCCACAGTAGAGTATATTTTCTCTTTTACAGATGGCCAACATAACTAATAGTGTAGCTATTCCTATGAAGTGGAAGCCAGTCAAAGAGCACGTAGCTCTACCATTTGACAAATAGAGCATATAGTAACAATCCCACACACAGTGGGCCATAGGGGTTTAGTTTGGTTACTAATAGCGCTGAAATCAGAAAGAGCTGTATATGTCCACCCATCTTTCTGTATGGAAACCATTTACATACCATGTCAGTCACATTTTACAAATCAAATAATGTTCCTCTGTCCATCATGTTTTACATGCAGTTCTAAGGATTTAATTTTGTATATTGAATGTCTTATTTTGATTTCATGGTTTTCCTTTTATTTTGACATCGCATATTGTCATTGTCATTATCTTATTTTATGAATCATTTTTATGTCTCACCTCCTTTGTTTTCCCCACTATTTTCCTGCTTCTTTTGTGTCTTGTGTTGTTGTGTTTGTGCATGCATGTATGCATGTCTGTATCTGTATGTGTGTGCATGCAAACCTGTTGACATGGTGCTCCAGAGGAGGAGGGCCGTCCCCGGCGCAGACGAACTCCCCGCTTTCTCTTAAAGCCATAACCTCGGTCCAGGCAGGCCTCAGAAAGCAGGCTGGGCCTGCAGGTAAAGAAGCCCAGAAGAGAGAATTAGAGAGAGAATGTGAATGATGTGTTGATTGTGACAAAAATCTCATTAACTTGCCTGTGGTAGATAGTCAAACTCTAAAACTCAAACTAATTAGAGCCAAATGGTACAGGGCTGCGTTGGCTATTCAGTAAAAGCCACAAATTATCTTACAGATAATGTCAGATATATTGAGTCATTTCTGAATAAATTCAGCCCATACTCTCTTGACTTTATATAGTTATGTTTAAAATTCAGTTTCATGCATTTGATATTTACCATCAAGTATATCTCTGTTGTACCAAAATGGAAATAAAAATAAAAATAACTTAATAGCAATAACATTTAACCATAACCCTGGTTTGAAATTAAAATCACTTGTATTTACCAAGAACATGTTTACAGTTTATTGTAAGGGCTGTGGTGCATATTGGCAGCTTAAAAGGAAATTTCTGTGCAAACCAACAAAATAAAATGAAATAACTAACATATTACTCTTGTGCTGACCGATTTAAGCAGATAAACTGTGCACATGCGGTTGGCAAGAGAGGGCAACTCATATGGCCTTATTAAGAATAATCTAAGAGCCACTATCATATACATTTCTGTCAATTGCTTCCACACACTGATGCCATCATTTACAGTTTAAGTCATTCGTTGTGCAACATTACTATCAAATCTCAATTTTAGTGCTTTTATTATTAAAATAAAAGGGCAATAAATACTTTATTGTTTTGCATGAAGCTAATTTAATTAGAAACATACATAAAACATACAATATGTGAACATTATTGGAACAAATAAAGCAGTAATACTTCACATGATTGCAGTTACAGGCTGATCTTTCATCCTATAAACTCCTCCATATCTGTCCAGATGGTGAGCTGGTGATGGGGCTGTCAGACTTGTGTGGTGACGGATGTCCGCAGCAGCTGTTTGGCTGTCCCTTCTCTCTCCCGCCCATGGACGACCTGCAGGAACCTAGCTCAGGCAGTTGTTGTCCCTCAGCTCCAGTTCAGCTCCAGTCCCAGCCCTCCCCCCAGAGCTCCCAGTGGGCCGGCGGGAGCCCTTCGTCCTGCCATGACGACCATCGCCTCCAAGGCTCCTGCTTCTACCAGCTACACATGCGTGGTGGACCTTTCGTTTCTGAGGGCCCTGACTGTGGTACAGCAGGCGGCGGGACTGGCTCCCCCCACGGGCTGCAGGTGGAATTTAGTCTGTCTCCATCTGCCTCACCTCCCTCATCTGCTGTCCTCCCGTCACACTTCCAGACTTTTGGCAGCCTGCTACACCCCTCTCCCGTCCAGCATCCCCGCTCCCTCACACAGTGAAGGGAAAAAAGAAACTGAGTGGTACTCTTCATGGTTTGCCCTGTGTCAAGATCTTTGATCGGTGTTGGTATTTACACAGGTCTCGAAGAAACCAGGACAAAAAGTGCATTTACTTAACTTTGTGAAAACGTATGGACCTACTACCTGTGTTTGGGCGATTACTCGTCTGTCTGAACCCTCTTTTTAAACTGAGACACTTGAACCCTCTGTCCATTGTGGAATGAAGAGTGTTAATCACTACTTTCAGGTGTTGATTATGTGTTTTATTAACAATTTCTTACCATAAGCTGCGCACTGATTGGCTATAATTGATACATACTTGTCAAAGCACAGTGCAGTTGATGAGAGCTGCTGTGACCTAGCAAACAAACCAGTTGCGTGTGGCTAAAACAAATCAGTGACTGCCAATGTTAACCACTGTTGCTTTGTTTTTTAATTAATCAGTTTGACTGAAGCTCAGATTTCTCCCACCTTTTTCCAGAAAGAGCCAATTATGTGTTTCTTTATGTGTCTTTACATATTGCTCAACACTTTTGCCGCTGCAGCCACAGTGACACGGTTAATATAGAATACATTTAGACATTAAGTCTGTGATTGGCTCTCCCTTTTCAGTTCCTGTCATGTTTTTCTCTACTTACTGCCTCCTCCACTCCTCCAGAATTTTGTTTATGTGAAGAGTTGAAACTAAATAAGATTTTCTAAGGTTGAGATTCGCACATGATCGAAGGAAAAGCAGCGTAATATTTTTGCAAGTTTTATTCTCAGTTGTGCTTTTGTGGAAGATTTCCTCCTTGTTTTTTATTTTGAAGATTCACATAGAGATTTATAAAGGTGCAGTGCTTAGTCTTCATTTCTGATCACATTTTTCATGTTTAATATTTGGTACCATCAAGAGTCTGTTTGACAAGCAGAATATGCATAAAATAAAATATGTAAATGTAAATGTACATGTGAACATAGGTAAGTCACTGAACACAAACAGTTTCTCAGGTTTTGCACCTTTGATGATCTCCAAGCCCGTTAATCAGTGAGAGTCAGTCAACATTACTCTGAACAGGTGTCATACATACAGATCAGATAGAAGAGGGAGTGTTATTAAAAGTTTTTTGATTAAGATGCAGCTCATTGGTGTAAGAATGGAAAAAACATATGAAGTGACAAATATCGGGGTCTAAAGATCATCCTAACATGGAATTTAACAGTTCTGGCACCTTCTCCTTGCCCTTTACATCTGCGTAACGTCCAATCAGTGAACATGTGTGAACAAAGGTACAACAGTGATATTTTTAGTGTCAGAGTGCGATTGGTCCTAACTGGGTTGTGGATTAAACAAATCTCTCTTTTTTTCCTCTGAAATGTTTCCTTCCCTGAACTCTGCCAGACATAATGAAATATACTGAAAAATGTCACATATGTATAGTCATTTACATTTTCAATAATAATATATTTTATAGTGCAAATCGTTTATTAACAACTGCAGAACAGATTCTCAACCTTTTCTGACCAGTTTCCCAAAATTCTCATGGCCCCGTCAATCAGAGATGTAAAACTGTCATGAATTTTGAGAATAACAAACTTAGTGTACTTTTATTATCTTGTGTCTTTTCTGAAGCACAGAGGGAGCTTCACATTAATTAGTACAGATACAATTCTATTGTTTACATCTACACTTTCATATCTGAAAACAATCTGCCAGTTCAAGGTTTAGAAAATACAGAAAGTTACAGTAAAAATGATTTGATTATTTAACATTATGTAACACAAAATAAATGGGTGAGCTTTAAGATCCCTCCTTTAAGGAACAATTTATTACAATACATTACAATTTTAGTCATTTCATAAAATCATGTCATTGTGTATGCATTCATACATATGTGGTATTTTCTTGTGAATGTCGGCGTATTTTGGTCACGCTGTCTGAAGACGTAGAAGAAAAGTTACAAGGAAGGAGAGGAGCCCCATGTTCTTCCTTCCATCTGTCTTTCTGTTTATTCCTTGTTGTTCATAAATGTGGCTTCCTGTTAAAAGCCAAGCCGGTTTTAGATCAATGTTTGTTTTCTTTGTTTACATGAGGGGGGTTCAGGATGAGACCACGAAGGCAGGAAAAGGCGCAGTCACTGCCTTTTGTTAATTCTTTATTTTCACTTTTATTTCTAGCAATTTATGTATTGTACTGCTTCTGTTATGTTCGTTTATAATTATTATATTTTGTAAAAAAAAAAAAAAAAGATTAAAATGAACATCGGTGAAATATTAAAATGTGTTGTATTTTAATTCAATATTTTGAAAGCTGATACAGCACCTGCTCGTTTGTTTTACTAATTAACTTAATTACTAATTAATATTTGATGTACTTGGGTATTTCTGTTTCTAGTTACTTTATACTTCTACTCCACTACATTTCAGGGCCATACAGTATATTATACTTCAGTTTAATTCGACTTTTCAGATGGTTAAAACTAAATAAAACAGATGATAAATTATGACATATTGTTAGAGAAGCTACCCAGCAGCATATAAAGTATCAGAATAACCCCACCTTTACCAACTGCACAAATAATCACAATCCAATAACATAACAGCTGTTACTTCTGATTCTTTAGATTTATTTTAATATCAGTACTTATGTACTTTAATTTAAGTAAGATTTTACATGCAGGTATTTTACACTGTAATATATACTTTTACTTAAGTAAAACATCTGGATGCATCATTGGACATACCTACTTGCAGCAAGGAAAGTTGGGAATGTTAAGTAAGAGCTGAAAATGGGAACTGAATGCATGAACATTTTTCCACTCTCTAATGAAACTTCTCCTTAACACGTCAAAACAACATACATATAGGCAAACAATCAATTATTTGCATTCAGAGCTACTGACGTGGTGGTCAGTGATACAGGAGCTCCACAGGGAACTGTGCTTTCTCCCTTCCTCTTCACCTTATACACCACTGACTTTCAGTACAACTCTGAG